GGATCAATATACTCCGTACCTTAGTGTCTAAGTACCTTCCCTTTCAGGCTATTACATGCTCGCCCGCAATGCTTCCTCATTCAGCCAGCCTCGGTACAGAACTTAGGCTACACCCCAGGGCTCCCCGGCGTCCTACCAACCCCCCTCATTACTTCCTTGGCGGATTTCCGGGCTTCTAGCTCGAAAGGCCTGGCTCGCCGACCTTGCCGCAACAGCTTCGTCGCCTAATTAACTAGCCAACGTCCTCCACGCCGCGTGCGCTAGTGCCATTGGACGCTAGCCTGAAGTTTCTGATAGTACTTCTGTCCTCGAGGGTCATGGTTCTAGATGAGCCTCGGCAAATTTGATGAATGATGCTCCAGGCTGTGGAATCCGCAGTGCCATCCCGCTCGGCAATGGCAAGTTCAGCGCCACGATGGATGGTCAAGGTAATATAAGACTCGGGTACGTATGAGATTCAGAGGTCTCTTTCCCGCCGCTGGTTCTGCATTTGTCAAGTTGTCGCCGCGCGTCATCGAATCTGCACCATCTTCGACCCTGCTGAAATTCTCGGTTTGTCGCCTTGGTTCGTTCATCGTCCTTCCGCGCCACCAGACACTCATCCCCCCGGTAGAATTCCCCAATCTCCGTCGCGATGCCGTACAAGTCGCGCTGGACCGTTCCTATACCAGATTGCTCGCTCCAGACGTTTCTATTCAAGTCTCCCGAGGCGCCCCTTGGCTCTAAACGTGCATTTTCCGAGGCCGCCAGACCGGACACGCACTATCTCACGCGAGATCAGTTCCGACTATGGGCCCAGCGGTTTGCTCTCGGTCTTCAGCGGTCCAAGCATTTCCGGAAGGGAGACCGAGTTTTGCTCTTCAGCGGCAACGACCTCTTCGTTCCGGTGGTCTTCATGGGCGTCCTCTGTGCGGGCGGGATCTTCACGGGCGCCAATCCGACCTTCGTAGCACGGGAGCTGGCCCATCAATTGAAGGACAGCGGGGCGACGTACCTGCTGTGCGCCGAGGGCTCCCTGGACACAGGAATCGAAGCTGCCAAGTTGGCGGGCCTCGACGCCGCGGAAAGAGTGTTTGTGTTCAACGCCAAGATATACGATGGCGAAACCCAAGGGCAGAAGGGCTGCAGATACTGGGGGGATCTCGTCGCCCCGGCCGAGGACGCCCGGAGCTTCCGATGGGACGATCTCACCGGGCCCGGGGAGAGCGACACGACGCTGGCGTTGAATTACTCGAGCGGAACCACTGGAGTCCCCAAGGGAGTGGAGATTACCCACAAGAACTACATTTCCAACACGATCCAGGTTCAGGAGATGGGCAAGCTCCTCCCGAACCACGAGGAGCGCACGGCTCGAGCGTCGTGGCTGTGCTTCCTCCCTCTTTACCATGCCTACGGACAGACATTCTACATCGCGCAAGCCTTCAACCGCCAGATCCCCGTCTACGTCATGCCGAAGTTCGACTTCCTCCAATTCCTGGAATACACGCAGAAGTTTCGTATCACGGATTACACGCTTGTTCCACCCATCGCCGTCCTGCTAGCAAAGCATCCTGCGGTGGAGAAGTACGACCTGAGCTCGGTAGAACAGGTCGGGTGCGGAGCAGCACCCCTGGGTCGAGACGTCTCCGAACAGGTTGAACGGCGGTTAGGAAACAGGCTCAATTTCAAACAGGGCTGGGGAATGACCGAGTAAGAGAGAGAGAGAGAGCCAAGATGTTGATATTTTAGGAGTCTGCAGAAACTAACTTTCTGGGTCAACAGGTGCACCTGCTCGCTCCTGGGGTGGGATCCTAACGCGACATCTCTGACCCAGGCTGTCGGCGAGCCCAACGCCAACTGTGAAGCGAAGATCATGACCGAGGATGGCCTCTCGGAGATCACGGAGCGAGGGCCCGCTGCTCGGGGCGAGCTATGGGTTCGAGGACCCAACGTCATGAAGGGCTACTGGCGCAACCCGAAGGCCACGCAGGAGACACTGACGTCGGACGGGTGGCTGAGGACCGGTGACATTGCGTACGTGGACGAGGACGGAAAGTTCTTCATCGTCGACCGCAAGAAGGAGTTGATCAAAGTCAAGGGGAATCAAGTTGCACCGGCCGAGCTGGAAGCGCTGCTCCTAGAACACCCCGGAATCGCCGACGCCGCTGTGATAGGCATGCCCACCGACGACGGAGACGAGAAGCCTCGAGCATTCGTGGTGAGACAGGTAGGACCAGAAGGGAGCAAGCTGACGGAAGAAGACGTCAAGAAGTTCGTCGAGGGCAAGGTGGTCCGCTACAAGAGGTTGGCGGGTGGCGTTGAGTTCTTGGATGTGATCCCGAAGAATCCATCAGGCAAGATATTGAGAAGACAGCTGAGAGACATTACGAGGGAAAGGTTAAGAAAGGAGGGAGCCAGGCTATGAGGGGGGTTTTTTTATGATACTGTAAAGCCGTGGAATGCCGACGCTTGCATCGTCTCCTGCATTTTGTACTTCATCCCAGCCATGAACTGGTAGACGGCATTACAAGCGCCTGAAAGTAATGCTGCTTGATTTCAGGCCAGTTGCACAAGTATGGAATGGACGAGGACAACGCCTGGAATCCGAAACATTGGGTTTCTCTCAAAACAAGTTCCTTGCGCGCATCGGAAGATACCCAGCCTGAATATGAGCAAAGAGAAACTTGTGCATCCCCAAGCTCCCTCAAATCTTTGTCGAAAATGGCTCGGCCGATGAATGGAAAGGCGGAGCGATATGGTCAGCAGTGAGAACGACACCCTTGTCTCAAACACCAAGCCTCTACTTCAATCTATAGACCACAAACCACTGCCCATTAATGCGAATTGTTGTGAGAGGAAAGTCGACAGAACGTGGCTCCATTCGATACTTAGAGATATGAATAACGACGGTTTGCGATCCGGCGCCAAACGCATACCATGATTGAGTGGAGGCGAACCGTGAACGTCATGTCATGTATTATGACACTCACGTATCTAGTCCGCCTCGCACAACATCGATGAACCACTAGGTAAGCTTTACATAACAAGAAGCTTCCTAAGAAGCGCGGCCACAACCACCAAGGAATGATATCTACCATCATCGACAATTGGATGCCTAGCGAGGTGTGGCTTCCTGCTCAGAAGACTCGACCGCATCGGGCCAGGACCGCATCTGGCCAGGCCGCCCTGTATCACCCTGGGGACTGCAACTCGGTGGTCTTAGTGATACGCTACGCTCTGACCCGTCCGTGATCATCTCGTTTAGGATTTTCCCAACCCAATGTAGTTCCGCAGAGTGTAATTGTATGCTCGACGGATATAGATGATCGGCCCGCACAGCGAAAAGTCTCAACCACAACAGACTCCACATTCATCAACCCTTATTCCGGCAATCCAGCAACACAGCAATGAAGCCACGCGAAGTCGTCTTCGTAGAAGGGTTGTCATGGATGAAAGCAGACGAGAAGATCCAGATATCGAAAGTTCGAGCCCCTGCAGGACTCGTAGGCTTGAGGACGCTAGGACTGCACCGCAAGTCCCGCCCTGTTGTCAAATGTATTTGGGGGCAGCGGAAAGAAGCAACCGCTTCGTCGCCGGGTGAAGAGCGTCCCCTACATCCACCGGCGCCTGCTTCTTATGGTTATTTCCAGAAGAGGGCTTGACGCGCTGGACGGCAGTAGCTTGCAAGAGTGAAGGACTTCCCAATGGGAGGGGGACCGATGCTGGGCAGCTGGGCATGGTCGGCCGATATTTGGTGGAAGCCCATGAATACCCAAGGCGCCCTTCCCTGAGATAACCCACAAACTGTTGAGTCATATCCTAGCGGGGTTCAGGACCAGGCCAAGTGGAACTAGCTCACACTCCGAACGCTTGGAGCCTTGAAGCGTCAGGGGGACGCGGCCAAGTATAAGAGAAACAGTTTTCCCATCGTGGGTGATAGGAGAGTCTTCGGACACAAACAGCGGCGTTATTATGATATTACGCATGCGTGCCCTTCTGTGGCAGCTGCACCCGACGCATCGACCCTGGAGAAGTTTGTCGTAATGGCGCTGATTCTTTACTGTTCGGCCACTTTCTGCAACGTCCGCCTCCCTATCAGGCATTCAAGGTTGACGGTAGTGAGTGCGACTAGCCCTTGTCAATATTCGCCATGTCAGCATTAAAGGCAGAGATGAAAGCTCTGATATGGGTATACATGGTCGTCATTGATGCCTGGTGACCGAGAGGGGGCATATGCGCTTGCCATGTCTCGATCTGCCCAGGCTTTCAGAATACTGTTTTGGGATTTGGAAGACTGGGACGATGTGGAGATTGTTCTGCACAGATTTTTTTCTTTGGGGTTGAGGACACGCGAGGTTTTGTTAGCAGATCATGGACCTTGCTTGATCTATGGTAATAGCTCAGTTGAGAAGCTTGTATAGCCGCAACCTCTGGTGCGGTGTAGAGCTCGTGGGCGTTCGTTGGCATTGGTGTGTTCCTCGCCTCGCACACGGCTGGGGTCGCTACCGTTTTTGATTTTCTCGTAAAGGGGGTGTGTTGCCATAATGATCATGTCTGCAGAGGCAAAGATGCTGCGTTGGCCGTGTAATGAAGATTGAAACGGTCCGTTGGACAGTCTGGACGGGGAAAATCCAAGCAGATCGGTTTTATTCGATGTTTCTGGACCCAAATCCAGCCCAGGGTATCCCGCAGCACTTAGAATCTGCAGCCATTGATAACGTTATAACCGGTAGAGCAATCAAGCTGGATGCAACTCCCTCGACCTTTCGTTGATCCATGGCTGGGATTCCGTCTCAAAGACGTAACAGATACTAGTGGTATTTTGAGCTTTTCCGCCAGCGAAGACGCTAGGTGGAGCGATGGCAGTTCTATAGCGGCCACCGGCTGGCGTACGCCATAGTCCCGCGAGTAACAGGTGAAGACAAGAAACACCCGAAGTTCAGGAATTCACATTCATTCGTCATGTTCGTACCATATCAGCGTCGCAGGACGCCGGAGTCTGTCGTCCAACATGGCCACACTCACTTTTCGGCATCATCATCATCTCGGCTCAACGCCGCTACAGCCATTCTCAATTGTTTCACAATCTTGTCATCGAGTCTATCCCCGCCTTTGGCATTTTGCCAGGTCATCTCTTTTTCATCAGTTGGCACGGTGATCTTTCGTCTTGCATCCTCTTTCATGGCAATCAAATCGCGCAAGTCCTCCAAGATGGCCTTCCGGTGTTCATCGTACCCTTTCAGGGACAGAACGGTGGTCGGATCCACTGCGGCAGAGGCTCCAGCTTCACGGTACGACGCTAAGCCATATGATATAAGAGCCAACGTTGCTGCCTCGCTTGATACCCCTAATGTCAAAACATCGGCACCCGAAGCCTTTGTCTGCGGTGTCGGCATCAAGCTTGTGCTCGCGCGAATGAGCTGATCGGGGAATTGATTGAGGAAGACGGAGATTTCGGGTGCGATGGCGCCACCAACGGCGTGCAGAAGATTGAGACAAAGAGGCAGCAGGCCAGTGACCCAGACGCGGTAAAGAAAAGGGCAGTTGCGCCTGTTATCGGTATGGGACACGCCGCCTGGAACCCGTTGAAGCGCCTCTGTCGTCTTGGCAGAAAGGATGCGGCTCAGCACCCCTTCAATGGCAATTTCTTCAGCGACCAGTGGTAAAGAAGAGATGGATGCGAGGAGCTGCACACAGTAGTCGGCGTAATGAGGGTGGCTGTCTATTTCCAACCCGCCCAGCAGATGAGACCATGAGTAGAGTATGAGGCACGACGAGATGATGCCAGATGAAGACAGCCGATCCGACAACTCTGCAGCAAACTGAGGGAGATTTGGCAGCCTCAGAATCGCTTGCATGAGTGTCAACAGGATCGAGATGTCCCGTAGTCCAACCAGATCACTCTCGTCATCAGTGTCAGTACTCAATCTATTTTGTTTCTGGTCCTGAAGTGCAACAACGATCGACTTGAACCCTTCGCCCACAACACTACTTGTGATTTCGAGAATTGTAGGAGTTTCCGGGTCGAGAGGGACGATCGCGGTGGCACCGTCCGAGACCACGGGCGATTTCTGCTTCAAGTTGACATGGACTTGGAGAGTCATGAGCAAGATCGAAAGGACTGAACGCCAATACGTCAGATCATTGTTGACGATCGCTTGTTCATAGGATCCGCTTCTGAATCTTGCAGCGGTCCAAGCATGCTCCAGCAAGCCCACCATGTCAGGGCCTTTGGCACCAGCTGCAACAAGTTCTCGTAACAGGGCCATTGTCAAGTCTGCTCGCTTCTGAAACAAAGACTCGAAGAGCGCTTCCGTTGGGTAGACCTGCGAGTTTGCCTTGAGACAATGTTGAACGGTATGCGCCATGGCTCTGTGCATCTCGCGATCCTGGACGAAGAACTTGCAGTGCTCAATGCACAGACGTTGCAGGCTTGACAAGAGTGCCAACTCGGAGTCGACGATGGAGAGGTTTGTGTTGGCACGGCGAAACTCTGCGGAGAACGATTGATTATTAGACCTCCCACCACCCTCCCAAGATGGATCGCGATGTAGCAACTTGTTCGCGAAATCAATATCATAGCAGAAGTCAGAGCCGAACTCCCGTTCGCTCAGGCCCGTACTCTTAATATCGACCACTGTTAGTCCGGTGTACCTGGCGGCAAAGTTGCGGCGCATGTTACCATGTAAGGAGGCGTTGTAGCTGGAGACCTCGACGGCATTTGATGCGAGCCACTCGATCAGTGGGGCGTAGGTCTTGATGGCGCTCATGTCCCTCGCAACAATGGCATGGTGAAGATGTGTCGTGGCAATATCTGTGACGCGAGCTGCGATCAAATTCTGGTTGGCGAGACTGGTCCCGTCGGAGTCCTGGGTGCCAGAGTTTATAGCGACTTGGACAATCTTGGAAAAGAAGTCTTTGGACGAAGACAGATTCTGCGTGATCCATGACCAATTCTGCTGTGCCTGCAGAACGAAGTCCAGCATTGCTAACGCAACTTGCCGCGGAAGATTTTCGATGCTCCGCAACTCGTCCACCGCAACTTGGAGGAAAGTTTTGCCACGAATAGAGACCGCGGCCTCCTTTTCCGATTTCTGCACCTTTGAGCCATCTGGCACAGAACCAGTCAGGATCACCATAGCCAGCCATTGTTGAGAATCATTCACCAATCGACTTAGCAGCTTCCACACTTCTGTGCGTTCTTGGGGCGACTTAGGACTGGCGTCGACATGATGGAGAACGTTGAGTAGGTCAATGCAAGAGGATGAGCCCAGGTGTCCGAGTAACGACGACGGCTGATGGCGTCCTACGTGAACCAGAACATTCCGCAATAGCCCCAAGCAAGACCTACGAACCGATGACCCGATTTGGAGGGTTCGCACTAAGGCGGGCACCGTGTCGAAGATGTGCTTCTCCAAGGGTGACAAAGGCAGTCCTTGGACGAGACTGTAGCGCACAAGCAACGTAGCAAGTGACAGTTGTGATCGTACATATCGCTCAAAGCCAGCATCGTCCGGCAGCACTGACTCGTCGCCCAACAGAAAAGTCTTATCACTGGTGCTTGTTGTGAATAGTGATCGTGCGATTGGATTCAACCCTAGATCTTGGGATCCCGATGCCCGAAATGCTGAAACAAGGTATGTCGCCGCTTCCGTGAAAGGCGCGGCTACGATGCTGGTGGCATTGAATGAAGCACCAACGCCGAAAGCGTACTGAACGATGTCCGAAAACGATTGGGCGATGGTGGTGCTGATGCGAAGCTGCTGCTGCGGATTATGGAAGGACCAGCCAGAGATCTCGTGAAACACTTGATAGAAGACTTCGGTTGCACTCAGAAGCATTGTGACCTGAACACGCCACGCAGTCGATAACTTGGACCCCGTCGCCGGCCTTGTCACTGGAGCGTTAGAGTTTGCCTGTCTGAGAGCCAATCCGACCAAGGCGTGGTACAGCTCCGAGCATTTGCCCAAGAAGTCCAAAATCTGAATTGGGCCTTCAACTCCAGACACGATGGCGAGAATTGGCGATGAAGCCGATTCATGTCCCAGAAGGCTTGTTCGTCTGAGGTTCGACCAGACCAATTGCGGTCTTAGTTCGGTCAAAACGATGATGAAGTCAACACAGGTAGTCATGATCCGACAATCGAAGGTAGAAATGGTACTCCGTCGGAAACTCTGTAGCTCTTGTTCGAGGATGTCGAAAATGTACTGTACAACGTCTGCCTCTGGGTTAAGACGGCTGCTAACTTCGTCCAGGATCGACGCGCAATGGTCCTGGAGGTCAATTGCTGTCTGCTGAAGCGGATTGTTGCTCAATATGGTTGATAAAAGCGTAGCCAGAACACCAATTGCCTCGGAAACCACGCCTTCAAGATCTTCCGACGGAGAGAGTGTTGCTGCAAGTAGTCCCACATAATAGAGCTCCAGCAACTGACCCATGTAGGCAAGACCGGAAAATTCGTATTGCCATCTAATCACGACCGGACCACCTGCATCAGGATCTGAAATGAGTTCGCCAATTGTTTGCGCAGGGACGACGGATGTGGTCTCGGTCTCTTGGTGGGTATAAGTCAAAAGCTTGTTTTGCGTGAAGTCAAGCATATTGACCGGAGTTTCGAGAGTCACAAAGCTGCCGCTTTCGTCCTCCCGTGTCGTTGTGTACTTGACGCCTTTCGCAACCGCTCGAGTCAGAGATGTCAGTCTTCGAAGCCGGTATTCGACGTACTGGGTACCATTGTCACTAAAGATGGACACCCTGGCCAAGGCTCGAGAAAACTGGAGAAACGGTAGACATTCGTAAGGGAATCTGGCTGCTGCCGTATCGTAGAACCCACGAAGCAGATCCTCGTCCTCAATAAACGTGATTACGGGATCATAGCGTTTCTGTCCTGACCGGCTGTCAGCGTCGACGGCCAGCAAAGCCAGCTGAGACGATATCAACTCTGGAGTGTAGCCCAATAGCAACTGCGCCACTTTGATGACTTCTTGCAGTGCTTGGACTTTGCAGATTGGCAGCAGGGTCGTAAGGCTACCTAGCGAAGAAGCCAAAACGGCAATGTAGTCAACAACATTGCATTGGCCGAGTGCTGCATCGAGCAGAAAGCTCGAAGGGTCGTCGTTCATGCTGTGCATCATGATTGTGTCCAGGAGATCTTCGAAAACTGTCGTTTGAAAGGCGGAGCTGCTGCCAGAGGTCCGGCGTCCGGTTGCTGCGTCATATGTTGAGACGGCGTCAAGAGTCCGTTGGACATGCTGTGACTCTCTCTTTTCCTTGACAAAGGAGGCTAGCTGCTGGACCTTATAGATGATCATTGCCCAGGCAAGGATGGCAGGTCCGGCAAGCATGCTTCCTGCTGATGCTGCGCTGTAGAGCAGCTCATGCACTTGCGAAGTAGATTCGAGATCAAAGATGTACTCTGGCCGTGTCCCAGGCTGAATCATTTGACCTGATGACGCGGTGTTCACCAAGGTGTTGATGGTCGGGCCCACATTGAGAATGGCCAGGCTCAACATGGAGGCAGTTGACTGCATCTTCTGTATCGCCAGTGTCTGCGTCTCGATTTCGGACACGAATGATGCGAAAAATCCCACGGACGACATCAAGCGGAACCAGAGGCCAACTGACTCCGAAGACAGGGTGTTGTCCGACCGCCTGACCACTAAAAAGAGTGTCTCTAAGACATGTCCGATCATCTGCAGGGTGCATGTATCCCTCACGTCTTTGAGAAGACCCAGGTCTGATTCCTCGATCTCCCATAAGGGACCCGATTCTAGAGTCTGCAACAGCGTTTCCGTGCGCTCGATCCCGGTCGCGATGTCTTCCTTCAAATTGTAGGGTCCGGCGCGTACCTGAGTCGCAAACGTCTCACAAGGAATTGAGATTCCCGGCTCTTTGTCGTCAGAGGAATCGAGCTCGGTGAGTTCCTTACTCAGGCGCAAAACAAGCACTTGCTGGTTCAGATGGAAACAGAGTAAGCGGGCTCGGCGCGCCTGCTGGGAGTGGAAAACAGCATCATCTCTGGCCTGGAAGCCACCTTTCGCCTGCAGATACCGATCCACGTAATCTGAACCAAGAGCCGCCTTCAGACTTGCCAGTTCTGCTTCAGAGTATCCCTCCCGAAGCCTAGACTCTGGACGATATTGCCATTCCAGCAGTACCAGTCGCAGAGCCTCCCGTTCACTCATATTGACCTGCTTACTGAGCCACACAGTATCTTCCCGCAGCTCGTCGCGGTCGTAAAGTCCCTGTGAAGACGTTGGGATCGCCGAAATTGCCGAATCGAAAGCGGCTTTTGAGGAGGCATCAGGCTGAGGAAAGGAAGGAAACCTCGACGCCAACATGCGCTTGGGATGGTCACCAGAGAGTATGCAGCAGGCATCTTGGGCTCTGGAATGATCGTGAGAAAAGAGCGCTTCGAACAAATCGTCCCAGGAACTGGCGGACGTTAGCATCTCTCTTCCAACCGACAACTTCAAGGATCTCACAGCACGAGCTTTTCGCCTGAGAGGCATTTCCCCACGTCGGGAAAATATTCTGAGCTTGCTGACGCAACCGCCATGTTGGGAGGAAGAAGTGGACCTCGTCAAGACATCTCTGGGTGTATTTGACTATCTCGTCGTTCCGCAATTATTTGCTTGAAAGCGCGTCGTAGGCAGTTTGAACGCGCCGCAGTTGCGGTCCGCGCTTGCAGTGCATCTGCTCCGCCGTGGTATCAGTCCCACCACAAAATCGGTACATCGACACCCACTACAAGTGATCATATCTACTCTCGCTTCTTTCCTCATTCGAGCTCACCCTCCAGTGCCAGTACAGCACTGGGGCGCACTCTGCTCATACCGAGTAGGTGACAAAACAGCCGGGGACAACTACCTGCAAACACCAACAAGATGTCGAGACCACCGGAGGACTGTACTCATCAACGTTGAATAGTCTGACTGGAGCTCAAAAGCTTCTCCTCCAGAACACAGTGACTCGCGTGGACGCAATCATATGCCTTGCGCTTCAAATACGTTTGCCATGTGACCGAGACGGGCAAACACATCATTGACGCTGTGGAGACAGTCATGCGATGGCTGCAAACAACATCGGGCGGAATTATATATGCTGTTCCGGACGGGAAAGGTCCTCAGTCAAATTCCACGGGTTCTGACCAGCTGATGGCCTTCGTGTACTCTCAGTAACATTAAGTACAAGTACCAAGGTTCGATTCCTGTGACCAATGACAGACTGGCCAGACGACAGCCAGAATTGTGACCCGGCTGAACCAGACGTTTGCAAAGTTTGACCAAAAGTCGCTGACTGAGGGACGACATACCCAGGTCCTCAGCTCAAATTTGTCCCGATATCAAGCTATATATATTCCGGCCGACCGACTTCCAGATCCTCATCCTCTTCGTCCACATCCTCTCTTATCCATTGAACTGTGGCTAGAAATCTCACACACCACATGCCTTACCCCAAAATGTTACCGTCAGAGCTACAACCGTACAACATGGGCAAGTCTTTTACCGACCTGCCTGCTGAATTACACATCCAGATCTTCAAGGAGTCCATCAAGCAGAGATCTATCTCGATGCTCTACCTGAACAGGGCACTCTACCACGAACTGCTTCCCGAACTATATGACTTTCATGTATTCAAAATCACCATCGACCCCAGCGCTGCGGACTTCCGGGTTGCGTTGTTCGATGGTACTGAACATTTCCTACCAGCCCACTCCGACCATATTCGCGAGCCATCCTGCCTAGTTGGCAAGAAAATCCCCTTCGAAAATCTCAAAGAGATCCAAATCGACATTCTCCCACCTGATCATCGAGAGCCAGCACAACTAATCTGCGCCTGGATGCAAATCACACGACTGCTTGCGTGGCTGCTTCCACAGGCCGAGGCGGCGTCGCGACCCCTGTGCGAGTCTCAGATCAAGCCAGCCACAAACAACACGGGACTACGACTGCCACATGTACACGTCGCATTCCTTGAGCAGGAAGGCCGCCAATGGCAAAAGTCCATAGCTGTTAATGCAGGTCAACCCGAGATGATCGACCTCAACGTCCTATTATCGGCTTTTAGGAGAATACGATATGCGCAAAGATTTTCGGTAACGATTCCCAACGCTTGCAAAACAGACCATCTTTCGCAGTACTGCTCGGACACCGAGCGTTTAGTAACCAGACAATCGCCTTTTGGATCCCAGCCAGGTGACAGCAGAATACAGAGCATCGAGGACTACTTGCACACAACCCTGGATTGCATCCTCGACGACCTCCCCGGAACCTCCGCTGCTCAACTTCGACTCGAACGCTTTGCGAGCTGGTGCTCGCATTACGAAGACTGCCACTTACGCCGAATCTCCGGCTACCCGTATGGCAATCGACCTGGTCAATTTGGAGGCATCCAGAATGCGGTAACGCGTCGTGAGCGTGATCGAGCGTTCAAGGACAGACTGGACGGTTTCGTGATGTACTCATTGGCCGTGTCTAAAGCTCGCAGGCCGCTGCCTTGGCATGAGCAATGGGCGGCCGTGCTCCCCAGGGGGATTCCGCCCAAATCATCCGACGAGTATCTGGATATGTTACACTCAGAAGATGGGGTCAGCGCCATGCTTGCAGGGCTCATGGGGCGTGCAGTCGACCTTGATTCTCGACTTCGATTCAGATATCCGTGCTGCCAGGAAACGGCTTCTGTGGCACGTCCGCCTTGAAACCACAGTGGCAAGGACAGACTGCCCCGTCCAGCTACGTATCGATATCGACGCTACTTATTGTTGCTTTCCTCTCCTCGAGAGGATACACCTGAGGCCCTCTTGCTTGACAAACCAATAGTCAAACAACTCCCATTCTGCATTTGGGTCCGCCAGTTTGACATGATAGCGACGAAGTAATTGCGGCACCAGTTTTGACATTTCCATCAGCGAGATATTCTTTCCCAGACAGGTTCTTGCACCGGCACCGAACTGTCGGACAAACACCTTGTCAGCATACTGAAGTCAAGGATAGGATGTCAATGAGATCTTACTGCAAGCCAATTTCGATCCATCAATTTGAGTGTCCTCTCGTCAGCCTCGATCCATCTCTCGGGCCGAAACCTGTCGGCATCGTGTCCGTATACGGCCGTGTCTCTCGCCGCGACCCATGGGTTCATTCCGACAATGGTTCCCGCGGGGAGATATACGCCGTCAATGGTCGCGCCGCCTTCCGGCACGATACGCTCGAGCAGCTGTCCCACGGCTGGGTGCATGCGCAGAGCCTCGCGCATACATGCTTGAAAGTACGGCATCCGCTGGGCTTCATAGTACGTCACGTACTCGGACAATTCACCTCTGGCGTCAAAGTCGAGGATCTCGTCGACGCACCTCTGGTACGCCTGAGGATTCTTGCAGAGGTGGTAGAACAACGCTCTCAACGAAATGGCGGTCGTGTCCGATCCAGCAAACCTGTTCATCGTTCGTCAAACACAGTACCTACTGTACCACAGCGACAGGGGCACTTACACATTCGAACTTGCATGGCCCAACAACTCTTTTTCGCTCATCACCTCTTCGCCATCCCTGGTTCTTTTGAATTTGTCCAGCATGTCCGATCGCCCGTGCTCGGCCTTGACATTCTGTCTCATCTGCAACTGCCTGGCCGCGAACTGCACAATGTACGCGGCAGAGTTCAGTCTCTTGATCGAGGGGATTTTATCCGCCAGCCTCGACACGAAATTATTGCCCAACAGCCATTGGTGCATCCAGGGCACTTGGCCGATGATGGAGTTGTAGAACAGGCGACCTTCGATCGCGGCGATGATGCCGTTCACATCTTCCTCGTTCTCCATGAACCCGAGACGATTCGAAAAGGTGATGCTGGAAATGACATCGAAAGCGTACCAATGCAACCACGTGCCAAAGTCAATGTCCTGGCCCTGCAAGGCGTCCAGTTTCCTTTCCAAGATCCGGGTGCAGTCGTCTGCCAGTGGTTCAAAGTCGAGGAGCGATGACAGCGCGAATGCAGCGCCCACGGGCCGTTTGAGGTTTTTGTGGCCGACTGGGTCGACAATGGAGAAGACGGTGGGAATGGGCCCGACGGGTGACTTTGCGTGGAAGAGGGTGTAGAAGTTGCTCTTGTCGAATTTACTGGTGATACTATAAACATGGGAGATCTGCTCGGAGTCTCCAAGACTGACATGGTTGGGGCCAACTCGCACAAGCTTCCCATACTTCGCATGATAATCCAGATGTCGTTGGAATTGATGGCCAGAGTATGTTGACAGCATTCTATCAAATGGAAGAATACTAGCGAGGAAAGGCCCGGGAATGTCGCGTAGGCCACGGCGGTAGCGAACGCGAAGGAGAACGGCGACAGGCATGGCGACTAGGAGCACGATGGCCAAAGGGAGTATATGCCCGAGGTGAATTGACGGCGCCATGGTGCTTGCCCCTGGGAGTATCATTCTTCTGGACGACCTGACGTTCGAAGAGCTATTTCGTCGATGTATGTCCCGTCAAAACCCAACCCTCCAGAGTATGCAAAGGCTAGATGACAGCAGTTCCTGCAGGACAAACGTCGACAGTGTGTTCGTCTCTCCCAGAAAATTCAATTAACTAGAGCACCAGACAAATGAAAGATAGCAATGTTGAGTTGATCTGCGGTCGTTTCGCAGCGATGCGCATACTGCCGACATGAATGGTGATTCTCGCGGGGAGATCGGAGCCCATTTGCCCTCTCTCCACATACCCTAGTGCGGAGGAACATGGACGGGCACGAAGCGGGTGTGACGGGCTGGGAGGGGGCATTCCATTCGAGTGGCGGATGGGGCTCTGAAGTGAGTGGGAGATGAGATCCCTATCTATCCCCGGAACAGAGAGTTGAGGTCGAAGACAGCTCTCAGCCTGGTTTGGAGAGGCTGCTGGAATATGTACTGTTTCTAGTAGAGCACTTGCTGGCTGTCACCGGATGGGGTGACACAATCGGATCAATTCAGTCTCAGCGAAGATGCAAGGCCAGCTAACTCCCAGTTATGCAGTACAACAGTTGGGTAATAGCGCCAGGGCCATAATCTTTGACGAGTCAGAAAACGTGGAGTTCGCTCCTTGTGAGGAAGAGATGCTGTTTTCTGTTGGCGTGGACCCTTTCGCTCACCAGCCTTGCACTTTACACGTTCAGGCCAAGATCAGGGCGGACTGAAAGTCAAATTACTATGAGCACTCTATATGCTGTACAAGGGTCGTCACCATTCGACTGGCCTGGCTCCCTGAACTCCTTCCGAGGTTAAATTATGAACACCATTCCGATCATCAAGTGTCGAGTCCGCAATCTTATCCAGAATCAATTTGACTTCATTCCCCTTGCCCGAACCACCGTCCATATCCGTGATCAGATTGACGGCCTTGGTCCTCAGTTCACGAACGACTCTCTTCGTATAGTCGAAGCTGCCTGTTCCCTCCATATACTTCACAGCATACCGTTTGACCTCGTCGTCATTAGTTTTCTGCTTGAGAATGTTGATGAGCTGCAAATTCGTGGGGTTGCTGCGAATCGAATGGATTATGGGAAAAGAAAATTTGCCCTCTGTCAGGTCCTCGCACAGACCCTTGTTCTTTGTATATGTGCTAGAGGACAAGTTCAGGTAGTCGTCGCATATTTGGAAGACCAAGCCCAGGAGGTTGACAAGGGGTACGCAGTCTATCCGGCCTTTCTCTGGTGACTCTGCCTGCATCAGCTTGATAGCGAGACGAAACAAGCCACCTGTCTTATTCTGGACCATTTCCAGGTAGTCGTCCTCGGTGGGACAAGTCAATGTGTCCCGCCAGTACAGGTCCATTCCTTGTCCACGGTGGAGATTGAGTAACTCGGTGGTGAAGGTTTCCATGGCTTCGTCTTTGTTATCCAGATGCAAGAGCTCCTGCAGGGCGAGAAAGTAGACGTAGTTTGCACTGTTGATTGTCTGGGCCGTGCCAAAGATATTGTGGGCAACCGGGATGCCTCTCCGCAGTACGCTGTTGTCTTGGACATCATCGATGAGGAGAGAGGATGTATGTAGCATGCCTACCACTTTTGTGATAATGTCGAGCGACTTTGGCGGAACGTGTAGCCATGCATTGAAAGCCTTAATCAAGCCCGACCGAATGTCCTTGCCTGGGTGCGCGAACAGGTAGTCGTAGGGCCCCATGATAATCTTCTCTTTCTGAGGTGACCATTCTCCGACCCGCTGAGATATCAGATTCTCTGGTGCGGACTTCTTCTTCGAGTGCCTGCGCTTGAGCGCGTTGGTGTGGTCAGATAGGACGGGGGCGTTCATGGGTATCGAGTGTAGCTTGGGCGAGATCCATGAGTCCTCCGGCAGAGGTTTGAGAACGGATTTGGAGGGTTGATGTGCAAGGCCATTGGTAACGCCGGCGGAGCTGTATCGGATGGGGATGGCATTGGGAGACGCCGGATTTTCTGCTGCGAGGGTCGACATCTGTGTTGATTCAGGTTCGGACGCGCGCATGTGAAAACGCCAGACAAATGAGGGGAGCGTGAAGGTGCTTCGGCTTTCGTCTTGTCACGACGAACATACAGACTGTTCGTGAGAGGCAGTCAGTTCACCGTTGGATTCAGCATTGGATGCAACTTGAGGCAGAGCGGGATCCAGGCACCCGCGTTTGATCTGAGGCCATGGTGGTGACAAGGTGTACAAGGCGGATCTACAGGATCATCACATGAGGTCCATGACGAAATACGATAGGTGACGATCGGCCTAAGCTGGGATCTGTTGTGGGCGCTAGGCGGCGGTTCCCAGGCGCCCTGACGCATGCCGCCACCACTGCGGCAGGTACAGGAGCACCCCGGGTTTCGACGGGCAGGTCAAGCGAAGCCTTACCCCCGCACCGTCACCCTGCCAATGGTTTGTTTACCACCTGGCTTCGATCGTTCACTTCCACCCGCCGCCGCATGCACGTCTCTCTGCACATCGACCCAGCTTGTACCAACCACTCTGCGCAATGGAGACCCTACTATCGCATTCGTTTGATTACCTGTCCTCGACCTCGCCTCAGAAAATCCGCAAGGGACTCCGCCAGGTGGAAGGGTTGCTCGCACAACTGTGTCTCTCCAAGACCAGCCATGCCGCCAACAAGCGACAGTCGATGCTGCTGCTTGGATCGACGACACCCTCGCCACAGTCGAAGAAGCTCTCCGATCTACCCTCGGATCCAGCGTTTCGCGAATTCTTCAAACTTCAGCAGAGTTTTCAGTGGAATATTGCTATGAGGCTAGTGTCTTGCCTGGAGCGATTGCTGGGAAAAGAAAGCAATGGGACGAATGATATGTTAATCATCCAAACCCTGGACCTGATCCAGGGGGTGTTGCTGCTGCATCCGCCCTCGCGGGCACTTTTTTCGCAGGAAATATACATGAACGTGAGTCTTTCAGGTACTGGCGTCCTCTAGCTCTGTCTAAATGCGGCACAGCTTTTTCTTGACCTGCTGGACCCGTCGAACTGTCCCGCTATTCAATCCTCGACGATCATGGCGCTCGTGACCTCTCTGCTCGACCAGCCACAAAACACTCGTACTTTCGAATCCATCGACGGGCTACTAGTAATCACGTCCCTTTTCAAGTCCAGAAGCACATCCCGCGAAGTGAAGTTGAAACTCGTCGAGTTCCTGTACTTCTACCTCATGCCCGAGACAAATACTCCAAAGATCTTGAGCTCGACGTCTGCAACGAACACGGCTATTCTCGGCGGGCGGGGAAAGGAAGTCATTGCAGCATTCGATCGGAGAAGAGAAACGGTGAATGGACCAGAAGGCGGCAGCAGCGGAGGCAAGGGCGCGAAGATGGACAATCACACCAGAACCACGGAGGAGAAGCAGAATCTGCTAGGAAAGCATTTGAGCAATGTGCAAGATCTGGTTGAGGATCTGAAGGAAGGAGGCGGCGTCTTTGGTGTAGGTGGCGTCTAGGGAGAGAAACAAAAGAGACGAGGACTGAGGCAGCAGGGATGGTGTCGTAGAGATTAGATACCCAGAGCGGCGCCATACAAGGGGGACCGAGTCGCAAAGAACCTGATCAGGGCTGGAGTCTCAGTCTCCCGCGAATGATTTTTGATGCGCATCTGTCAATGTTAGAGGCTGTTCATTGCTATGACTGGCCATTGGGAACCGTGTACAGCCGCGGACTGGTTCAACGTCTCCACCGGGGTCAAGTCGATGTGACTCATTCACTTATACGAGGTTGTATACGTTGGAGTGTGGAGAATGTCCAAAGGGGCTCATGGAGCGACCATAAAACCTTCAGACATGAATGAAATCTAATGACAACCTGTCGGGCTTTCCTAGCTTCTGCTATACGTCTGAATCCATTGTCGCATTCATGGTGCTCTAACAACTTCTGAAGCCAAAGATAGCTGATTTGAGATATCCGCCACTGGCAAACGTTGGTTGCCGTTGTTCGGTTCCTTCTATACATCTTACGAAGCAAGACGACTACTCTACTTTGTACAGTCCGGTTGTTAAACGATACACGTATTTCCCTCAGTTGGCTACCACAATGACAACAACCATCCCACAATCAACCGATCCAACCGTCCGCTATCTGTCTACCACACAGGCATACGACCTCTGGTCAGCTGTGTACGATACCGACGGCAACTTCTTGCAAGCCCTCGACACGATTGAAGTGAGGCCTCTGTTGCTGCGCATGCTCGACATGCTGAATGATGGACCATTCACACAGCCCTGGAAGTTCGTGGATTTGGGTTGCGGCACCGGCAGGAATACTGCGGCGCTGCTCGAGGTCGGTGAAGCGTCGGCAGTAGTCGGGCTGGATGTAAGTCCTGGCATGCTGGAAGTTGCGGAAAGGCGGTTGCAGAAGTTTCATGCAGAAGGGAGACTGAAACTCGAGGTATTTGACATGCTGCAAGCAACGTCGATACCCGAGTCGGCAAGGTCTGCGGATGCAGTGGTATCAACCCTGGTAATCGAGCATGTTCCGGCAGATATCTTCTTTGCGACTGCAGGCAAGATCCTCAAACCTGGGGGGATTCTGCTGTTGACGAATATGCATTCGGAGATGGGCAAAATCAGTCAAGCTGGATTTATCGACCCTAAGACTGGCGAAAAGATCCGGCCCACCAGCTATGCTCACACCACCGAGGAGGTAGAGACTGCCGCCTTGGGCAATGAGTTTGAGCTTTTAGGCCCGATGGAGGAGCGGGCAGTAGACGAGAGCATGGTCACCGTACTTGGAGAGCGTTCGCAGAAATGGGTTGGGGTGACCGTATGGTTTGGAGGCATTTTTCGGAAGAAAGGTAGTATGTGATCTCCTCAGCCACTGAAGAAGCCACGAATCAGTCGATCTCTGTGTCGTATTAAGTTGTCATAAGGTTGCAAAGCCAGCTTCAACTTTGGTTTGCGAAACTCGAGGCTATCGTCAAGAATAATTTGGGTGTAGGCAAGCAAACTGGCATCGAATAAGCCAGGCGTGGTCTGGCCAAAGAAGAATTGATTGTCCGCAAGGAGTGTGGATAGAGCTTGAAAGGCTTGTTCAGCTTGAGCATAGAGGTCATGCGGGTCAATGGTGGCATTTGTCTTGAGCAGCTCTTCCCTTGCCGCTGATTGAAGTTGCTTGGCTAAACTGAGTCGGACGGGGTAGGACGACGACGCGGAGGCCACATATAATGGCCATGCAACGGCGCTGAAGTTGGCTTCCTCGAGGTACAGGTAGTACAGCCAGGCACTGCGGATGTTGTGGTCTATCAAGGCAATATATGCTTCTTGTCGCATATGGAAGGTCTCTTCTTTTCCCCCTTGCGATACCACCCATCTTGTTAATCGATTTGCAGGAATTGGAGATGACGGTCGAGAGAGATCTTTCGGAGCTGGAAGAAGGAATGGAAGTGCTCCGGTAGGGGAGGCATGGTTGTTCGATGGGCGAGTACGAAACGGAATGCCGTGAAACTTGAGGTAGGCTTGCCATTTCAGACAAGACGGATTGAAGGACGGAGCATCTCGGAGCCTGGGGTCGTCCGACTGGAAGATGTAGAGGACGTTCTCAGTGCGATGCCGCGGAGCTCGCTGGGGAAGGGCATTCGCAGAAATCGTTACAAGAGGGAACCGAGCAAAGACGCGTCGAATTGCGGGAGGCAACGACCACCATGATGATGGAGCTGAGCTTTGGGCCTTTGGATGCGTCGACTTTTGCTTGCCCTCGTCGTTGACGTCTGTCATGTCCACCACCATTATTGCCCTCGAGCAAAGACGCAGTCGCGCTGAGGACAAACAAAAAAAGTCACGAAGACGATCAGGAGTACGAGATGGCTCGACGATGATTGGCTCCAGTAACGGGCACAGGCCTCGTGGGGGCTCCTAACTCCTTTGGCGTGGGCGTCCGCCGTCGGCTGACCCAGACAGTGAGCGTGCGGTGAGTGACCTGCATAAGCTCGTGGCGCTCACCCCACCACCCTTGTTCCTTCCTGTCTTGCTGTCCGGTTCACTCACTTGGTTAAGGTTCTCAGTTGAAGATTCACACTGTCTCACTCCCCGTTGGCAGTGAAGGTCGTTTTCTTTCAGCCCCTCGACCTACTGTATCTTAGACATTCCAAGGTTCCTTTTCGTCCATACTCCGTACATTCTTGCCGATCGCTCCTCACGTTGACTGACCCGTGTACATCGCCTTTCCCCTCCTGATGATGTTGACGCAGCGAAGCCGTTCATTATCGTACTCTGCTTGATGACCGCACTAGTCGAACCACTGTCCAACATCCGACATTCCACTTCGGAACCCGCTTGGACTGTGCTGGATCCATATCACAAGTCCTGGTAACACCACAGTCCACATCACGGGCCACTGCATATGTACCGCAAGAAGCAATGTCCGACACCTCGGTGACAACTCCCAGGGTAGCCACCCCTCCCAAAGGCGCTTCCCGGGTAGAAGATGGCAAGGTCAGAAAGTTGAAGGCATCCTACAAGAGCGAGACCCCTGCGGTTCAACACATCAATGGTAAAACATATGCTTGCGAGTCCTGCAAGCGAGGCCACCGAGTACACAAATGCGACCATGGCAAGACGAGACCTATCTCTGAGACCAATCAACCCGGCCGTCCCTCGGCAGGTACGAAGAGGGGTTGCCAATGTCCCAGGAACTGCGCCTGCACCACAAAGACCTGTAAATGCGAGAGGGATTGTGCTTGTACGCAGGAGATGTTTCTCATCGTTCGCCTCGATAACCCGACCGTTGTCTCCAGAGAATCTACGTCGACACCCAAGCCAGTCTGGGAGGATTCAGACGGCACGCGGTTGACTCTGAAAAAGGTGTGGGCGGACGCCAATGGCAAAGAGATTGACGACGACGAATATGAAGCACGGAAACGCCGAATGAAGGAGAGACAAGACGCTGCCAAAGATGCTCCAAAGACATCTTGTTGCTCGGGAAAGACGCCGAAAGAAGAGCCCGATTCTCCCAAGGGTGGATGTCGACATCGTCAAAATGTCGCCGCAATTCAACCTCATCCTGGCCCTTCGATACGAGATTCTGGGCTGCCATTGCATGCTCCAACGCCGACCTCCGAACCATGGATGTCAAGTTGTTCTTGTGGCTCTGGCTGTTCCTGTCTTTACTGTCCAGACCATCCTAACAACGCGACCTCCATCAATCATGCTCAGCAACAGGTCAAGAACCTTGCCGAACAGGCGTATATTGGAGGTCACGCCCTAACACCGGTGCCTTCCAACTCCGAGAACACGTCCAGGTCTTGCATGGGCGGCCAACCTTCATTCTTCCTCTCGAGCACACCCGATGTCTCTCAGCACCAGCTTCAACAGTTCTTCTCTGACACACTGAATCCGAATGCTATCTACTTAGCGTATCCTATTCAGCAACATTCTTGGACGAATCGGCCCCTTAGTTCCCATTGTTCCCGTGTCCATTCACCGTCCGAGGTCATGACAATATCCCCCGACACTTCAGACATGTTCCCCGATCCCCTTAGCGACATGCCAATACCTCTGCATGCACCGAACGATGTTAGTGGCACGTGGGATTTCTCGGGTAATCAGCTGGGAAGGAGCTCGTTCAGCTGGACTGGCTTGGACGCCTCTTACGGGACCGACTACAATATTGGCCAAGCTACAGTAGCCTCGATATCCAACAGTGCACCCCCTCAGATGCTGCCAGCGCCTAACGCAATTGAGACGCCAGCAATCGGCGTTAACTTGAACACAGTGACGAATCATTCTTTACCGATACATTTCACGGATACCTTGCCCCAGCTTGACGAAAACGCCTTCGTCGACTTCGACGGGCCAGTTTCTTCCGATCAGCCCAACGGAAACACTTCGATGGCCAATCATTTTAGCCACGAAACGGTCCCCACGTTCAATGTGCAGCCGATACAAGGAGGTTGTTGCTCAACGCCTTTCGCCGACTTTGACTATTCCCAGGACTCCGAGTTCAACATGAATGGAATATCAAGGACGAACTCACCCATTATGAATCGCGTATAGTCAACGTGGGGAAACGGCCACGGGTATGCGATGCATTATACCCTAGAGATTACTCCCACAGCGGGTAACTCGATCTCATTTACGGGAGTACACTGGAAGCCAAGAAGACTCGGGATCTCGAAAAGCAGTGACAATGATATTTTTGTGGGACAAGTGACCATTTTCCAGAAGCAGTGAGCATTATTTCTCAACAGTTCCAGGAGCGATGAGAGCTGCATCAAATAGATTACTTTTTCGAATATGAGCATGTGCCGTTGGGCGTTGGCTGGGTGTCAATCAAGCACTGGCTTAATGAAATCCAAGGAGCGATGATCATCATGACTATCACTAGGTATAACGAACCGGGTACAGAGTGCGAGAGTACCGCGTCAACAGTAACTGTAAATTGTTCCGCATCGAGTACTCCCTTATTACTCACAGAGGTCCTTTGTCCTGTCACATGCGTCTGAAACGCGAGGACAACACATCGTGTAGTATGGCACATGGCTGCCAGGCCAGGCCAGCCGAGGGCTGCTTTCTTGATCAGGATGATCCAGCTCTTTTCAGGGATATCTTTACCAGCTCATAAATTCAGTGCCGGATGGGTGCAGTGTAGTGTAGTGTAGTGTAGTGTAGTGTAGTGTAGTGTAGTGTAGTGTAGTGTAGTGTAGTGTAGTGTAGTGTAGTGTAGTGTAGTGTAGTGT